TCAGTAACGCATACTTGACCTTCAATAATAAGTTTTACGAACAGGTGCAAAGCCTGGCAATGGAATATTGCTTGGCTCCCGGTGTAGCAAAACGATTACATGTGAAGGATAGAGAAATGCCTCATGAAAAAGTTAAGACTGATACATAAATTGTCACTGAGATATATAGATGATTATTTTGGCATGATAATGGTATTGTTGGGTGGGCTTTAATTTCCTATGAAAGTGCATGAAGAAAAGATTCGTAGGTCGATCTCACCAAAAGAGGACGGATGAATCCCGTTGTACTGCAGCCGTTTGGCTTTTATACGACGTTCAAGTTGACGCAGTCCACGAGACCTTCTCCTTTGTTTCGGGAGCGTACCTTGTCTGGAATCAATAGCATGCATGATAATTGCCAGAGTCCAACTGTGAACTTGGTACATTCCCTGAAGATTTGCAGGCATTGCCAGGGAGCCTTATCGAGCTTACTTTTGCTTCGAATGAAAGTGGTTGGTAAAGACATTCGAAGGTCGATACCATCAAAAGACGACGGCGGAATCCTCTTGACCAGCTATCCATTGGCTTTACTGGAACCTACTTGCTGATGCTGTTTCTGAGGCAAACTCCATTGATTCCGGTGAAAACATGGTCCTGGGCTATTCACCTGCCTTTTATCATTGTAGCATCCCTTCGATATCACAATTTCATACTTGTTTATCTAAACATAGTCGAAACTTATTCATACTCTCACTATGCTAGGACATTCTTGTGGAAGACTCTATATTTTGTCAATTGTGTACTGGATGTATATGCCGAATCTTAGTTTTAATTTGTGCTAAAGAATCCACACATTATTTCTTTGCTAGAATTTGAGTACTGAGTGATCATAATTAACCGAACACATCACATAAAATGGATACTTTATCAACCGTAAATCATCTGAAAGCAGGGCCCCATAGAGTGAAAATACAAGGAAGCGGATGATCATGGATACCATTGAAATCATTTGGCAAAACTGTAAATGAACGCGACATTGAAGCGAGGCAGAGTTAGCGATAACTATACCTATTGCTTAAGCAAACTCCGGAAAAATAAGAATACAGCATAACCAGAAAAAAGTAGACGCGTGGATCAAGGACCTTTCATTAAAAGAAAAGAAAGAAGAAACTTCAAACATCAAGCAAAGGCGTTCTCAGTTAGTGAAAACTGTTGGAAGAAACCAATACAACTTTGGAGGCCGATGTACCAGGGAAACGAGTAAGAACAACCGTTAAAGAAACCTGGCATTATGGCCCAAATGTACAAGATATCCATTTGGGATGCCAAAGATGACCAATCTTAGGTGTCCACAATTTGTTCGGGTTACATGGGTTTAATAAGGGAAACGACCTGAAAAGGCAATGCCTAATATCTGCAAGCATGGGAATCAGAACCTCGGTACGCTGCTCGATGAGGCGATAATAAACGTGCTTCTATTGGCTTTAGAAATAGCACATGGAGTAAAACGTACACTATGACTGTAACTGAATGAAATTGACCAACTAAAAGGATACGAAACGGAACTACGGATCCAGATAGAAGGCTCGAGTTGGATTAGCCGATCGAATGAGAAAGGGGGCTGAGGTGAGTAGCAGGTACGATAAAGCAACACTAAACTTGCAAAAATTGGCACACCTATTGACGAGTGGAATGCAAACAAGTGTTAAGCTGTGATAGAAAGAGAATATGATAATAGGCTAAGTAGCAGATAAATTGGCTATGACAGAAATAGTAGTGATGTTGCAATAGTTTTGGAAGAATACTTGCTCGAAAGATCAACTTCACTTGAGTCCTTGAGGAATTGTAGCTTGGTGCTGAGAATGGCAAGTCTCACTGAAGATGCCGACTACGATGCCGGCGAAACATTTGAGTATGTACCGAATAGACGGGCTTATGCTGGTCATGTTGGTAAGAAGACTTAGAGGAACGCACCTAGTCCGGAGTCCATTGTATTCATGATCATTTCCAAAGTCGGACCAAGGACGTGATACATTCCCAGACGTTTTGCCGGCATCGAAGTCGGCCTCGTCAGTGAGTTTTGCCATTCTTAGCACCACACTACAACTCGTCAAAAAGTCAAGTTAGACCTAATCAAAACAAGTAGAAACACGAAAATTGTGGGTTGGCACACAAGTGACTAGGACGTAGGGAGTGATAGACATGGTATTACAGATATAAATAGGAAATACGCGATTGAGACTAAAGCGATTTGGCTAACAATAAACGTGATCCTTGAATCACGACTATTTTTAGCCAACTAGCTCTAGTTTCCACTGCTTCTATTCTTTTTCTATCTATCATACCAAATCTATGACTTCTTATGCTCTAGTCTCTTGTGTACCAACCCACAAAGGTTGTGGTTCATCATTAAACCTAATCAAAGCAAGCAGTACCACAACATTTGTGGGTTGGCGCAGTAGAGATTAGAGCATGGGAAGTCATAGACATGGTATTAAGGATAGAAACATGATAGATGCGGAGGAGACTGGAGCTAGTTGGCTGACAGTAGGTTTTACCAAAGACGTGGTCCATGTAACAAAGTCGTTACCATGAGACTTACTCAGAGGCTTTAGCCTCAAATTAGTCACTGAGTCGCAGGGGAGGGTGAATAACGCCTCAAGTAACACAAATGGGGTGGCAGGGGTTGAATGAAATACGTGAATCAGGTAGAGAGCAGACCTATCTTACGGGGTAAAAGAGAGAGTGTATTAAGACCTATGGAAGGAGGACTGCATAACAATATGACAGACTATGATCAACATTCTCAACAAAAAGTTGAAGGTGTTGAGAACAACAGCGTGGAATTTGAAGGGTCTTCATGAGTGCTGCTCAAAAGTGCACACCACACTACATCAAAATAAGCACGGTAAAAATTGTAACAATGAAGACGTGATATGAGTATATAGGAAATGTGAATAGCCTAAGGCATAAGGGAAGATACCATAACTATTTAGCACATGTTTGATCAAAGGATCGGCTTCACTTGTCTCTTTGACGAGTTTTAATATGGTGCTACGAATGGTAAAACTCACTGATGATGCCGACTACGATGCCGGCAAAACTTTTGGGAATGTATCACGTCCACGGTCCGACTTTAGAAATGATTATGCATACAATGGACTCAGGACTAGGTGCGTTCTTCTAAGCCTTCCTACCAACATGACCAAGTTGCGAAAACAAGGTAAAACAACTTTTTTAAATTATTATTGTTGTATAATGCATACTCTGATAATTTTATCGACCAGCAAAGTCTCTCCAGGTGAGGAAGAATATTAATTGGCTCTGTGAATAAACTATTTCCATCAGATATTCATTTACTGAGAATTTAATAATACTATTATTTTATGAAATATGGAGAAGTACCCAAACCAGATAGATCATAGCCTTTTTTTCAAATACTATACGCCAAAATAAACCAAACTTAAAACAATGTCCACCAATCAATGTTTAGTTGTTCTCAGAGTTGCATAATGGCAAGTTTTTACACCTCCGTTAAACATTCATACATAATAACTTACCGAGAAAATTGCATTCCAGGTTATCATATATGCAGCCTATTGGACCATAGAAGTATAAAGATTGAGTGCCAAGGCAGTTGTACATGTAGCGGTAAAACCCCTAAATCACATCTCCTTTTATCTCTTCATCTTGTTAAACAGGTATAATCGTATTTATACTGATATTAAGGGCAAGTTATTCACAAGGCCTTACTCAATCCATTCAGCAGATTAAACTCTCTTATCTTACGCTTGATAACAAATGTGTAAATGCCGATCTGTTTCATATCAAACTTCAGTAATGCGCTTCACAAACTCAAAAGACCAAATAAGCAATAGTGCTTCCTTCAATTTTCTAGTAAAACCGAAGACCAAATCATATGATAATCAGCTATTTTTAGCAGAATGAATTTTTAGTCAAAGCTCCCTCTCAAGGATGGCTGAATAAAGGAAAGTGTCTGCTCCCCCTTGAGCATGATCACATTCATTTGTTTATCTTTAACAAAATAAAGCTAGTTGGTCGAATATGCATATAAGATACTATTTACACTTCTCAGAAGACCCTAATTTTAAAGCCCAAAACTTTTGTTTATTATTAAATAATGCTAATACATTTATATCATAAATGTATTATGACTGGACAAACGGACAAACAGCTCAGATGCCCTGATCTAGTTATAAACAGTATATTCGCACTAATAAAAAATTTCGTTGAGCAAACCATGTACCTATAGTTATGGTTTAAGAATAATTTTTCAAAAAACTTGCGAGTAAATCTGCTCATTTCTACTCTTTTTTGCAAAAGGTTGAGAGATGACATTACAGTCCCAAATAATGCTTTTGTCGTTAGTAGGCAAAAAATATATAATAGATTTTTGTCATTTTTATTAGACACGAAAGGTTATAATATTACATCTTTTGGCCTAGAAATATTAAGTACAATGGAAAGCGAAAGATGATACAGAAACGCCTCGCTCTTAGTAAATTTATTAATTAAGATGGCTTTGCCTCTTTATATGTCGAATAAGTTAGGAGGAAAAGAGTCAAATCCCCTAGCTAGCAATGAGCTTGATTTTTTTTATTTTGGTAACTTTCTTTTAATGTTGAATTGCATGACTAGGCTTCATACTCTGACTTAAAATCATAGGC